GGAAAAACAGAAAAATCTTCAGGTCATGTGACTAGGCGAAGAATAATTCTTAGACTTGAACCCAAAAGCATGATCCACAAGAGAAAAATCTCACTAACTTCATTGAAAGCAAAAAGTGCCTTCTGCAAGGACCCATTAAGATGCAAAGAAAAAGTGGGAGAAAAATATTAACAAATCACATATTCAACAGAAGAGCAGATCTTGAATGTGCAAATTCCTCTTGAAATCCAACATTACATCAGCTTCAAAGGACAAGAGATATGCAAAGACACTTGACCAAAGAAAATATACAAATGGAAATTAAAACCATGAAAAGATGACTGGTATCATAGCTATTGGAAAAAATACAAAGGATTTTCATACACAAACTTGTACACTAATGTTCGCTGCAGCTTTATTCAGAACAACCAAACACCAGAAACTATCCAAATACCCTTTAACTGGTGATGGTTAAAAAAACTGCGGTGCAGTCACACCAACAAATACTACTAAGCAATAATATGGAAACAAATTGTTGATGCATGTAACTTAGATTTCAAAGGAAATATGCTGGGTGAAGTAAAGTATATATAAATATATATATATATGAATGTGTTCTCCATTTCTATAATTATATATTTTATGAATGTCATATAAATGGAGCCAAAACACTCTGCTTGGGAAGCTTGCTTTCTTTTCCTGCTCATCCACCCAAGCCACTGTCATAATGCTTCTTGAGACCATTCATTAAGCCTTGCTGCTCATCAGCAGATTGCATAAAATCAATTTATTGCCCCAAAATATGCTCTTCCTCCCAGCAACTGAAGTCAGTCTGGAAACTTTGGTGTTAAGGAACTGAGGCTGTCCAACTAAATATAAAGTATTTTAATTAGTTATTAATTAGTGAAAACAAAGAAAATACACACAGCTAAGCATTTAAATTTCCTCTCCCCACTTACTCCCTACTTCTAAGAAGCTGATTAACTGCAGAAGACACCAAAGGGAATTGTTCTTGAAATCAGGAAGGTCGCCTTCTCACTACCATACCTTTCTCAATTCGTATTTCATATACAGCTATGTGGAATCACAAATAAACACACTACCCTTACCTTTGGCTAAACTCCTGCAAGCATACTAGTAACCTCTAGACAATCCATTTACTAAGAAAAATCTGCACACATCTCAGTCATGTTCAGAGCCAGCACCCTAGCCTCAGAAATGTCATTGACTGCAATCATGACTAAACAGAAGACAATAGTATGTCTCTGTGAACCTTTTTTATCACTGTCCCTGGTAAAGCTTCTAATCCAGAGGAAGCACTGGTATCTGAGTCAGTTTCATAGCTCTGAAACTGTACAATATTTCAATAGGAAGAGATGTATCAGTTCAAACATAATCCTATTTCACTAGGATGCAATGTCCTGTTACCGCTTATGACTTCTGTATTGGATGACAACTCTGACAGAGAGGCACCCTGCTTAGCTGCCCCCTCTCGAGGTTTTCCTGCAACCATTAGCCATCTTCACAATGCACAGCACTTTTATAAAACCAGAACATCAGCTTTAAGCAAAACTCACACAACTGGTTAGGAGCAGGTGTAGATCAGGGAACTAAGTCAACACGACCTGCAGGAATACATTTCTAAGTGTTTCAAAATGCCAGATCTTGCAAATAAAATTGACCTTTCCACTTGGCATTCTCTTAAAAGAAATAAGATTTTTGAGACGTGCATCTCAGCTATTTTTAATTCAGGCTCCCATGACTGGAATAACAAATGGGCTTTAAGAAAGAATGTGATATTTCCATTCGCAGTTTTGCATCCATGTACACAACTGAGCACACCGGTGCACACACAACTGCCTTTGCCAACACGGCCTCTATCTAGAAAAAAATCACAAACACCTCTTCCTCTAAAAGGGAATTTTGTATGATTGATTTCTAGCACAATACAGAACTCTGACATTTTTTGCTACTTTATTTTAAAGCAATGATCTCACATTGAATCAGAGAGTAGGGAACTTTTGGAGGAAAATACCAGGCCCCCTGTGTGGAGGTGGGGTGGGGGCTTATTTAAATGCTTTAAATAAAAAGTGACAAATCATTCGACATGCCCTGCTCTTGACAGCCCACACCCTAACTGTAGATTGCATCCTTTTCTACTTCCGTTTCCTTCCTCTTTTTTCTTCTGTCAGTTTGAGCCATGGCTCCAATTTGCAATTCACAGGACAAGTCTTAAACTCTCCTATTTCTATTGCTTCCCTAAGCATTGGTGCCCCATTACTTGAGGCCCAAGATCCATGCCTATCTCAGTGCTACGAGAAGCTACTGCTGGCCTTGTTCCCATGCCATCATGAAGTTGCTCCTCCACTTAGAGTACAGAGGTGGACCAGCTTAAAGGGGGCAAAGTTGAGAGTCCACAAACTGGTGCTACTCCTCTGCCTTCCCCCACTCACCAGCACACACAGCCTGCAGCACACAGACAATGCAGCACACAGACAATGCAGCACACAGACCCTGCATCACACAGACAATGCATCACACAGACCCTGCATCACACAGACAATACAGTACACAGACCCTGCAGCTCTCAGACCCTGCAGCACTCAGACCCTGCAGCACACAGACAATGCAGCACACAGACCCTGCATCACACAGACAATGCAGCACACAAACCTTGCAGCACACTGACCCTGCAGCACAGAGACCCTGCAGCACTCAGACCCTGCAGCACACAGATCCTGCAGCTCTCAGACCCTGCAGCACTCAGACCCTTGGAAAGTTAGCTAACTTTCTGTCCTTAAGGAGTTTGACTACAAAAACAAAGGCACTGGACTTGAAGCTGTCTTTCATCATTTTGTTCCAATTATGCTTCCTTTATTGTCCAATTACAATGTCAGTCTATCCTATTACTAAGTCTTTTATCTCTCCCTTGAAATAAAGCTATTTTTATTCTGTAATTAAGTTGACTGGTATTCTTTAGTTCTCCACTCTTTTTTTTTATTTTAAAAAGAGATAAATCAGTATATTCCAGTAAGAGCTGGAATCTGATTCTGTCTCAAGGTTTTAAAAATGAGCTAAGTAACCTATGATTGTGGTTTCCTGATGAGCATTTAAGAACATTGAAGAAAAGTTGGATGTGAGAAGAATACAAGGTGTTGTTCACTGGCGATCAAAAATGGCTGCCTTGGTCTGGCAAGAAGGTCTAACAGGGAAGGGACTTGTTGACAAGCCTGACAACCTGAGTTCAGTCCTCAAAACCCCATATGGTAGAAGGAGAGAACCAAGTCCCCAGATGATCCTGACGTCACACACACACATAGGCACACACTCGTAAAACCATTGCTACTTCATTCTACTAAATACATGCTGCTTAACTGCAGGCCACAGTTTGCAAGGAGTCTGGTTTTGGGGTTTTTGTTTGCTTGCTTTTTCCTAATCCCCTACACGACTGAACATGGATTTAAGTCAATAGTGCCCCTTAATCCAAAGGATATGCTCAAAAACCTCCAATGGATGCCTGAAACTGCAGGTGTATCAGACTATGTTTTCCTATCTATACTTATATATAGTTCAACATATAAATTAGGCAAAGTAAGAGTGCTTTAAAATGCACAATAAAATAGAACTAGCTCTGTACTGCTTAAAATCTATATAAGTATGATCATTCTGCATCTCATAACACCTCCTCATACAATGCTTACCCTTTCTCTTGTGATGATATTAGACGATAACTAAAGAGAGTACTTTACAGTTTATCTTTGTCATACCCAAACTTCCAGCTTCACCACCCTTGTGCTTTGGGGCCACAGTTAAACAAAACAAGGGTTACTTCTGTTTTGTAAGAACTGTAGCACCATCTAGAACATCACCTTTATGAGTGCTGCCACCACTGCTGTGATTTCAGACATCCCGACCATCACACAATGACATTAAGAGGGAAACAGCCAACTGTCCTTTCTCAGACAAACAAACATCAGCATGGAAATAACTAGACAATGATATTTAAAGGACAGACCAACATTTTCAGATGAGAAGAATCAATCAAGGAATTGAGCTATATATGCATTTTTTTAAAAGTCAACCCTAAAATAGATCTTAACATTTTCCAAATAAAATTAAGTAGCTGTTCATACAAATGAACACATTGCATCACTTACCCTCAAAAATCAAGATTTATTGTGCAAACCCTCTTTCCCACACATGTACTATCCAGAAACACTCAGGTCCTTGTTTTACAGATAAGAAAATTGAAGCGCATAGAGGTCACTCTACTGTGGGTGACGGAAGCAAAAACCCTACCCGATCTGTCCATCCCTAGTCACTCACTACCTGTGGTCATCTAAGCTTCATGGAATCATGGAAGCTGATTAAATGACAAAGTAGAGCAGGTGCTTTGGTAACTGTTTCTACTCAGTGAACTCCTATGCAACTCTTACAACTGCAAAGGTTGTTCTGCTTCAAGGCCATATGAAGCTGCAATGGCATCTCTGACTGGGGACCTCTGACTGAGGACCATTCATACATTACCTCCTTTCACCTTTCTCCATCAATCACACGAGACAAACATTACTCTAGGAGAATTGTGGGTTAAGATGACTCCACTCAGGAAAACAACAGCCCCTGTGTTCACAAGCATCACACTGGACATTACACAACTGCCTAACTCAAAGTGGACAGAGGCCCTCCAATAATTAGAGCTCTCCCCTCTTAGTCTGCACTGAAGACATTTGGGTCATAGAAGAGACATTCTGATCTCTGCCTGAGAATAGACCATTTACCATTTGATTCATAATAGTTCATTTAAACCAAGCTAGTCGTATTCATTTTTGTGTTTTTCTAAAATAAATCAGGTTTCAACTAGACTTGGTCTTTACAGATGGCTGGTGACTCAGGAATTACATTTTCAATCTGTCAGTCATGAAATGGTTAAACTTGAGGGTAACACCCTAGTGAATATCACTCTCCCTCAACCTCAAAGGGGAGGGGGGGGTTCACAGTCAGTTACTCCTGTTATACCGGCGTTCACAGGAACATCTGTAGGCACACAAACACTCTACCCTTCAGCCTTCAGCTTGCCACAGACATACCAAACAGTCAGTGACTGTTCCCCAAGTGCCGAGTTTAATTCCTGGTTTAACTGCAAGGATTCAGAGAGGGATAAGCGGCCCCTCTGGCCTTCAGGTAGGTCCAATACCTTCCTTTCTGGCAAAGCTAAAAGATGGGAACATACGTTTATAAACTTAAGGGACTGTTGATGCCCCACTAAAGCAGGATGATGGCTATGGATTAACAGGGTATCTGGGGAGGGAAGAAATACTGTAGATTTGGGAAGTAGGGGGTCACCTGGTCTCAAGCTACTGCAAGGATTAATTTCGATTCCTTCGGGGTACTATTATTAATCTTGGGACATAAATGATCTCTGGCATCAGCATGGGAAGACAGGCCTATGCCTGGTTTCAATGGCAGGAGAAATCAAATAATGTATGCCTCCAACCTGATTAACGGTGCAAGCAGTGTTAACTCACACACTAAGTAGCTGCAGTGCATGCTGTACTTGCTAGTTTGTCGTGAGGAAACATGGGCAATGCTGTGCTGTAAGATTTAGCACTTCAGAGTACACTATCTGTCTTTGGAGAGAAAGTCAGTTCCGACACAGGAAACTACAAACCCAGACCTCACACCATTACTTCTCTTCTGATACTCAACTATGCCCTGGCTTCAAAGTGGATAAGTAAAAATTGCCCTGCTGGGGAATGCTGGCACAGGGCTGAGGAAACTGTGTTAAGGGTATTGGCCCCATATTTCTTCCTTTTAAAAAGAATCTTTAATGTGTTGACTTTGAAATTTCCCTTAGTTGAAAAACAGTCTTTTTTTTTAATCTGCTTGATATTTTTGTCTATTTAAAGAGGAACCTTCAGTGGGTTATTTTAGATGTAGCATAATTTTAAACAATTTTTAAAACCCTAGATGTAACTAATACAGTTAAATTAAAGCCATGAAAAAATAAAATCGTCAACTCCAGTAAAAATATATTCCTGCCCACAAACAAAAATTTCAACAACTCAGTGTGTTAAAAATACTAAAACACCTCCAATGTTTCTATTATCTAAATAAATGAATCCTCTGACTAAGACAGATCATCTAAGACTTCAATAGGAAAACATTTGTCTATGTTCCAAGAGGAGACAGTGTAGCTCCCTTTACTGGTTTTAGGGTTCCAAGTTTGCTACAAAATGGACACTCTTCCCTGTCCACTGCTCAAGATCTGCTTATATTTAACCCATAATGCTCCAAATCCCTATGGTGACCTCTGACCTTCACATGGCACAGTGGGCTACAGTGGAAACTTCATTCAGTCTCTCTCTGTCACTCTGTCTGTCTCTCTCTCTCTCCAGCCCTCCCTCTTCCTCTCTGTTTCTCTCTCTCTCTCCAGCCCTTCCTCCCTCTTCCTCCCTTCCCCTCCCTCCCTCTTCCTCTCCCCTTGGGATCTGGAATCCATTGTTCCAGTACAACTTGTTTTATATTAGTTTTCTAGGTGTTTGAAATAAGTAAGCTTTGAACTCAGAGCTACCTCCACCCAAACCTTTCTTTTAATTCCTATGGACAAAATGTACTCAGTTGACAGAAAAGCCTCTTATGCATACTTGAACAGTCCAGGAATAAATAAGAATTTTCCCAGGTTATTTCACAATCAGAGAAAGCTACTAGATCTGCAAATCACCACAGCCTGAGGAAGTGGGGGGGCTTGCTTTCATAGCTCCAGAAGTAATCTGCCTCAGGCAACATTTCCTCCCTTGACTTAGCCCATGAAGAATATTAAAAGATCAGGTCTTGAGGACTCTCTCAAGTAAACTGTTAGGCATAGCTGTAAGAGAATGCTTAGCAATTAATGATACGTAAACTAAGGAAGTGCTTCGGGGCAAAAACCATATACACCACAGAGTAACCACAGACAATACATGGCCCAAGGAACATTGACAAGGGAAACAAAAATATAGTGTCCAGTAACATTTGCTGACAATTTCTGTGCACCGGGCACTATGCCTTATAATCAGCACGTGCTAACTTACTTCACAAAGGAATCCAATGAATAGGTACTAATATTATCCCAATTTTCAAACAAAAGAGAGAAAGTACAAAAGAGAGAAAGTAAGTTGCCAGAGATGGTTACAAAGAAACTAAGTGCTAGAGTTTCAGATTTAGACTCATAAAATCCAACTTTGGATCTTGCATACCCAATCATGGGTTAGAGAAGTAGTGAAAAGAACAAAATAACCCATGTTACTTAAACTGAGTCACCCCCATACCTTTGGCTTATAAATTTATCCTACTATCATTAGTTCAAAAGTTTATCATGTGCACCACCCCCTCTACTGCTCAGAGATTATCTTGAAGGGAGGGAGGGAGCCAAAGGAGGGTTAGGAGCCAGAAGAAAAGAGATGCTGTGAAATGCTGTCTTTAAGGTATGACCCAGACACTGCAATCATGGACTCAGCTGTGGTTTCCTAAGACTGGGCCTGAACAAGACTGGCCCTATCAGCAGCCAACCATGGATTGGAGGGGAGCTCAGGAGGCCCTACTCCACTCTGCAGCACTACTGACGGCTGATAGACTTGGGGAGAGAAGAAGTCACTGCCTTCAGATATGCACCCATTCGTGAGCACTCCAAGCTTCTATAGACAGTTCCAAACCCATGGTCACACAGATGTCTCTAGTTAAGCTCAGGGGGTCACAAAGCAAAACAAAATTGACATGAATGTGGGAAATGTGAGAAAAAGATTTTGGGGGGGTGGAGAGGAAGGGCAGGAGTGAGATAAAAGAGGGTGGTAGTAAGAGGATTCAGAATGAACTATATGCATGTATGAAGCTGTCAAAGAACAAATTCACTTAAGAAAAAAAAAGGGTTATCTATTATCTGTCCACATCCACTGACCAAATCCCAACATCTCCAGCATCATCCATGTGTGCTGTTGTTATCAGCAGATAACTGAGTCCTAACAGCCTTGTTATCTATTAGTTCAAAGACAAAGGTATCTACCATTTACTGTGCTCTGGCTCTGTTCTGATTCCTTTACAAGTCTTAAAACACTAATCATAACCGAATCGACCTATGTGGGTAAAATCACCTCATTTTACAGATGAGGAAATCAAGCCACAGAGAGTTAAACAGCTTGCTCAAAGTCATGAGTTACAAAGTGACAGCCGGGATTTGAATATAATCTGATGGCACTGAGTCCTAGTCTTGATCATTGTTTTATTCTTCTTTTTAAACAACTAACACCCAAAAAAGTCTATCTTACTTTGTTTCAATATTTAGTGTCAGAACAGAGTGTTTCACATCTGCAAGCAGGAAGAGTACTTCATCTCTCTCTAAGGTAGGTAACAGTACAAACTTCCCAAGACCAAGATAACTTTATCTAATAAATATTTCTTAATGGCACTACAATACGAAAAAGAGCCGTCTTTGCAATCAATATAAAATTACTCGAGAACCGTCTCACAGTTTGTGGGCTGGAAAGTGGTCTGAAACAGGACAATTCTATTTTCCTGGGTGTTGGGCCGGCGGGGGTGGGGGTGGGGTTAGTTCAGAAACTGTCTCTGCTTTGCTGGAAGAATCCTCAAAACAAGAAGGTAGGAAACTGATGAGCAGAAAGGGGGGCGGGGGTCTTCTAAAGTATCCCTGGCAACCTCCAAATTAAGACACATCCGTTAATAAGTGCAAGAGTGGAGAAAAAAAAGTCATTTCAAACTGATTCTGCCTCTGTGTGCTAGGTATTCTGAGACTTGTCTTTTGGTTCTGAAAGGCAGTCAACTTTGCTAACTCCCTGTCCCAGCAAGTGAAGAGTCCTCGGAGTGCAATTCTGAGTCCCGCTTCAATAGATACAGAGTGGAGTCAGTAAAGAGGACTCAACCATAGCTTCCCCTTCAGACTGTGGTTTCCAGGCAACCACACTAGGGAGAGAAGAATCTGTGCCTCCTACCGGGACACCCCACTAAGAGTCCCAGAAGACGCTGGGGCAAATCCTGAGCACGGGTTTGCAGGAGCCCCTCCTAGTATTCTTGCCTTCTAGCGCCCCGATGTCAGCAGAGGGGCGCACTCTCACCTCCGTTCCCTATTGTCCGTCACCTGGGCGCCCATTTAGTCACTTCGTACTTTTGTAGTCCTTATCCAGTCAGCCTAGAAGGCTCCAGTCCTGAGGCCACAAGGAGACGAACCATAGAAAACAGATTTCTGGGAAATGTAGTCTTGTTGGCTCGCATACTCGGGCTCACTGGGAGAGAAGGACTACAATTCCCAGAAATCAAAGCGAAGTGAGTCCGCCACTAAAATATGTCCCAGTAGCTAGGATTGAATTAAGTAGGAAAGGGCTGTGGCTCTTCACTTCTTGATTTGGGGTCTTAACAGTTCTAGGACAAGCATGTTAATGGCTTTTCTTTTAAACAAGCCCTTTGCATGTGAGAAAATATAAACATAATGATATATATGAGAAGATATTCTAAGTTTATGCGCTTTATACTTCTTTCAGATAAAAGACCTACTCACAATCAAAAATGTCACTGCAGATGGTAACAGTGGGTCATAATATAGCCTTAATTCAACCAGGCTTCTCACTGATGAATTTCGATGGTCAAGTCTTCTTCTTTGGCCAAAAAGGCTGGCCCAAGAGATCCTGCCCTACTGGAGTCTTCCATTTTGATATAAAGCAAAATCATCTCAAACTGAAGCCTGCGGTTTTCTCTAAAGATTCCTGCTACCTCCCACCGCTTCGCTACCCAGCCACTTGCTCATACAAAGGCAGCTTAGAGTCTGAACAGCATCAATATATCATCCACGGAGGGAAAACACCAAACAATGAGCTTTCCGATAAGATTTATATCATGTCTGTTGCTTGCAAGAACAACAAAAAAGTTACTTTCCGTTGCACCGAGAAAGATTTAGTAGGAGATGTCCCCGAAGCCAGATATGGTCATTCCATTGATGTGGTGTATAGTCGAGGGAAAAGTATGGGTGTTCTCTTCGGAGGACGATCATACATGCCTTCTACCCAGAGAACCACAGAAAAATGGAATAGTGTAGCTGACTGTCTGCCTCATGTTTTCTTGGTAGATTTTGAATTTGGGTGTGCTACATCATACGTTCTTCCAGAACTTCAGGATGGGCTGTCTTTTCATGTTTCTATTGCCAGAAATGATACTATTTACATTTTAGGAGGACACTCACTTGCCAACAACATCCGCCCTGCCAACCTGTATAGAATAAGGGTAGATCTTCCCCTGGGTAGCCCAGCAGTGAATTGCACAGTCTTGCCAGGAGGAATATCTGTCTCCAGTGCAATCCTCACTCAGACAAATAATAATGAATTTGTTATTGTTGGTGGTTATCAGATAGAAAATCAAAAAAGGATGGTCTGCAATACTGTCTCTCTAGGGGACAACACGATAGAAATTAGTGAAATGGAGACCCCAGATTGGACCCCAGATATAAAGCATAGCAAAATATGGTTTGGAAGCAGCATGGGAAACGGGACGGTTTTCCTTGGCATACCAGGAGACAATAAGCAGGCTATGTCAGAAGCATTCTATTTCTACATGTTGAAATGCTCTGAAGATGATGTGAGTGAAGAGCAGAAAATCTTGACAAACAGTCAGACATCAACAGAAGATCCTGGGGACTCCACTCCTTTTGAAGATTCAGAAGAATTTTGTTTCAGTGCAGAAGCAACCAGTTTCGATGGTGATGATGAATTTGACACCTACAATGAAGATGATGAGGATGATGAATCTGTAACTGGCTACTGGATAACATGCTGCCCTACTTGTGATATAGACATCAATACTTGGGTTCCATTCTATTCAACTGAGCTCAATAAGCCTGCCATGATCTACTGTTCTCATGGAGATGGGCACTGGGTACATGCCCAGTGCATGGATCTGGCAGAACGCACACTCATCCACTTGTCAGAAGGAAGCAACAAATATTACTGCAATGAGCATATACAGATAGCAAGAGCATTACAAACTCCCAGAAGAGGCCTGCCCTTACAAAAACCTCCAATGAAATCGCTGCACAAAAAAGGTTCTGGGAAAGTCTTGACTCCTGCCAAGAAATCCTTTCTTAGAAGGTTGTTTGATTAGTTTAGCAAAAGTCCCTCAGATTCAGGTGCACTGATTCTTAGACCTACCTTTTAAATAATAATAGTGATATAAATGTTATTTTTTACTGAAAACCTCTGTGATGTGTTCTGATTATATGAATTAATGCTAGTTTTAATGTAATGTTAAGTAAAGTTATTTTAACATGTTTTAACATTTTATTCAAAAATTTCTTAATGAGAAATGCTATCTAATTTTTATTCAGAATAGTAGTGATAAGATATACATAGAACTCTTGCATCATTTTGTAACAATCTGCATGTTGAATAGTAACTAAATACCAATAAATAAACTAATGTACAAAGAAAATTGTTTTGTATAATACATAGCCTATAACTAGTTTAAAATTTTAAAACCAATATATCAACTATATCTCACACTACTGCTCTTTATAAACTTTAAGGCAGCCCCTTAGATTATACCCATGAACAGGGAAACCTATTCTACATCAAGACAGGAATGATGACACATGCATGTAATCCTGGCACTTGAGAAGTTGAATTGTGAGTTTGATTCTGGCCTAGTCTTCATTGCATCTGAAAAAACAAAGGCTGGCCTTGATAGAAGACAGAGTACTGGTAGCATTGTCACCTACTGTAGTGGTTTGAATGAAAATGGCCCCCATAAGCTCATAGGAGGTGGCACTATTAGGAAGTGTGACCTTATTGGAGTAGGTGTGACCTTTCTGGAGTAAGTCTGCCAATGAGGATGGGATTTGAGGCTTCAGAGGCTCAAGCTAAGTCCAGGTGGCATTCTCTTTTCCTGCTGCCTGCCAATCTGGATGTAGAACTCTCGATTCCTTCTCCAGCACCATGTCTGCCTGCATGCTGCCATGCTTCCTACAATGATGACAATGAACTAAATTTCTGAACTGTAAGATAACCTCAATAAGTGTTTTTCTCTATAAGAGTTTAAGTGGTCATGGTGTTTCTTCACAGCACCAGAAATCATAAGGCATACCCTACCATGCCCAAAGTCCTGAATTCAATACTGTGGTACATTTTCTTGAATAATCTACACGTTCTTCAGAAGGGTAAAAACATATTCCTACAATACACCTTTGTCTGAATCACTTTGGGGGCTCACATTCAAACCTTCAAAATCAATGGTTCATCCCTTTGAAACTGCGCAACTGTTGTCCCTCTTCTTCACTGAAGATTGTTATTATCTCTGGAAACAGTCAAATGCCATTCAAGGCCCAGTAGTGTCCAGCCCTGAATATCACATTACTATTTTAAGTGAAAAGTGAAGCATGAACATGAGCTTAGGGGGTTTCACTCTCAGAAAGTTCCTAATGCTAAATGCTGAATGATTTTCAAAATAGTACAAGAATGATATCAAGAAATATGCAATCAGTGAAAAGAAAATGTTCACATTCCATGAACGAAAACCCTTAATTTCTTGTATGAAAAGCACCAAATCCCTCATTGTGGCTTTACATGAGTCTTTCGTTCCACCCCCCCTTCCCTGAATCCCCTATGTGTTAGAGTCCCATCGTTGATAAAAATAAGTGGATGACACCTGAGGAGAAATGATGTTTGAAGTTGACCTCTGACCTCCATGCGTACATATGGATACACACAATTTTTCTAAATTCCAAGATCCATATTAAACATGGGACCTGCAAAAAACAACAAAATTCATCTCTAGAGAACTGGTTGTCACACTTTAGAAAGAGGCTAAGGACAGGGCAGGCAAGTTGTTTATGTCATAAAGGTTGTCTATGCAATATTAACTCTTTTCTAACCTAGAATGTGCTAACAAAATTATAAAATAGGGCCAAAATATCTCAACTTTTCTATCACATATCAGCCTTTACTGAAGAATTGCTGTGGCAAAGATTCTTTTTTAAATGCAAACTAAACCATTTGAAATAATATACAAAATGTATAGTGATCACTCAACAATAGGAGTGGGATCTGTGTTGTACAGGATGACCAAAGCATTTGTGGCAACAAAAAATTATGGACTTCTTAAAGAAGAAGATGGAAAGGTAATTATAGAAACCGATCAGTTCAGTAGACTTTGACCTGACCTCAGTATAGAAATACACAGATCTTGACCTCCAAGTAAATTAGGATATGTGTGTGTGCATGCATGTGTGTGCTTGAGTGTCTGCTGTGTCTGTTTGCCTGTCTGTGTACACACTTGTTCCTCTGTGTGTGTGTCCAAGTGTGTGAGGGTGTATGCCTGTGTATGACTGTGTGAGTATATACTTGTACATGTGGAGGCCACAAGACAACTACTGGTGTCACTCTTCAGATGCCCTCCACCTTTTCATGACAGAGTGTAGGGAGAGACCTAGGCACCTGTGCTACTGACCACGCCCATTTTGGGCATGGCTACAGGTGGGTACAGATGTATGTGATAAAGGACAGAGGATAGAGGCATCTACTCTCTTTTTCGGGTTCCCGTCAAGTCTCGAAAGGCTACAGAGATTAACCTGGGTTTTCAGTTTCTCTTGCAAGTAATTTCTCACAATAAATAATCAACAATATCCTTATCCAGTGTATGGTTATATTTCTTTGGGATGGAGGGATAGCTTAGCCGTTAAAGGCTAGGCTCACAACCAAAAATATTTCTTTTACAACAGAGGCTCTCTCTGGCCAGGAACTGGCCAAGTAGGTTAGACTAGTTGGCCACCTGAGATTACCTTATCTCCACTTCCCCAGCACTGAAATTAAGAGAAGATTCTGATCTTTGGGAGCCCATTCCAAATATAGGGATGCTCTCTCAGCCTGGACAGATGGGGAAGGGCCTAGGTCCTTCCCTGGATAAAATGACAGACTTTGGAGATCCCCCCCAAGGAGGGTCTCACCCTCCCTGGGGAATGATGTGGGGATTGGATGGGAGGCTGGAGGGGCTGGTGGAGGGACAAGGGAGGAGGTGTGGGAGAGGGAGCTGGGATTGACATGTGAAGCATTCATGTTTCTAATTTAAATAAAAACATATATTGAGGAAAAAAATACAAAAAAGAGAGAAGATTCTACCATCATGGCTTTTTATGTGGATTCTGAGGGTCCAACTCAGGCAAAGCACTATAACAATAAAGTTATCTCCCAGCCTGGAATGAACTGGTTTTTAAATCAGAAATACATTGTCATCATCAGGAGAGGAAAAAGGGAATAAAAGGACAAAGGAAATTTTCATGGGACAGAAGGAGAGAGAACAGGGGAAGAAACAACTTCATGAAAATATGAGATTCCTAAGTACTAATAGTCCTGCTCTATCTCTTCCCACCTAAACTGGGACACAGTTGTCTGAGAAGGTGGGACATTAATCTGTAGACAATGTACCACTGAAGCAAAAGGGAGTAGTTAAACTTGTCTCCAGCTCCTTGGACAGAGTCCTTTGAGCTTAACACTTTCCAAGAGCATCTCCCTTGTGCCTGACTCCAGCACATTTAGACATCATCATGTGATCACCTCAGATTCTTCTATGGTGTCCTTTTACACCCAGGATAGTCCACTGGGGCCCACACAATAAAGCCTCTGCCTGATTCTCTGGTAGTTCAGTCCCTCTTCCTCAGTCTGTTACTGTCCACTTGACTTTCTTAAATTCCCAAACACTCTGGATGTTTTCCTACCTCACAGTTTCCCCATAGGCTGTCTGCTCTAGGTAACTGACCTAACCTCAACCCTCATTCAATCTGTATATAACCCTATAACTTCATTCAATCTGTCTCCACTTAAATAGCCTTTCTCCCCAGGTGTTTTTTTTCTAATGTCCCATTTTAAATTCTACTGTCACATTGCACTTTATACTTATCTATTGTGGTGGCATCTAGTGCTTTTCCTAGGCCACACCAGGTAGAGTAGGATACCAAGCACTCATTAGTCTTCTTGTTGGTTTTATGTCTAGCTCCTTGTGAACCTAAACAATGCTACTTGCCACTAGATCTCAGTATCAAGCATACACTGCTTGCTTAGAAGCATCCCATAAATACTTAAAAATAGAGGCTGATAAGCTGCCTAAGGAAATAGTTACCATTGCTGTGAAGTCCCAGAGCCACCACAATGACGGTACCAAAAAGATGCCCAACTGTGCAATGGTGGAACTTGCGGTAAACTAACAGTTGTCTAATTGGATCTAAAACCCATTCAATTAGTGGAATTTCATCCCTAATACTGTAAACCTGGCCAGGAGCTCATGTTTAGAGGTCTCATTGAGCCTAACAGAGGATCTATACTGCCATATTACTAAAGTAATATAGTTTTCAATTGCCTTCTAAATGTCCATCCTTACACACATAGATTATTGCAGCTCTCGCCCCTCAACTAAAAGCTTCTTTTTGCAGCAGACAGAAACTATTATAGATATCCAAAACAGGTCAAAACGCAGAACATGAACGACCTTGGTACACCTAGCACCTAACATGGGACATCTATAACACAACCCTGAAACCTAAATCTCAGGAAAAATCTCAGAAAAGGAGGTGGAAAGATTCTAAGAGCCTGTGAACCCGAATAATTGCTATATGATAGCTTCTTCTGGACCAGACAGGGATGTTACTCCCATGGACTCTCAATAACGTAGCTGCCTGAGCAAGTCCTGCAAAGACCACACCAATCAACATGTTAACATGAATGGAAGAAAATTTCAAAATTTCCTTCCCCGAAGATGAGCTACAGGAAGTCAATGGCTGCTGAGAGAGGGAGAACCACTTTTATTTTGTTTTGCTTTAAGGTGGTGGTGGTGATAGTGGTGGTGACCTTGCTGTTGCTTCAGAGATGAGGCCCCAATCTTATATGCCCAGTCCTAAACACATGCAAACAAGGGAAGCATTAATTGTACACAATAGGTCATATGTATGCATACATGTATATGTATGTATATAAACATGTGTGTATTTGTGCATTTATTTTGTTTTATATAAAACAGCTTTCATACATATAAAACAAAACAATATGTGTGTAACATATAAAATATACAAGAAATATAGTTGATAGAGGCAATTGGAAGATACAGGAGACATTAAAGGTGGGAGTGGGGTTGAAAATTATGCAAATACAATGTATTCATGTATGAAACCTCAAATAAAATAAAATAGAGGCTGATGCATTTAGGAATGTTATCATGAAGGATGCAAACTTCACTGGGCCTTACTTTTTTTTTTTTTTTGGTTTTTCGAGACAGGGTTTCTCTGTATTGTTT